GGACAAGGCGCCTCTTTGGGAGTCGTTTGGGGCCTTCTGGGAGGCCTCTCGGGGGCGTCTTGGCGGTGCGCTTTCGTTCGAGGATTGAGGGTCGTTGACGCAGAGGGAGAACGAGGAGAGGGCAGAAAGAAGGAAGGGTTGGTGAGACGATCGGAGGCCTCCTTTTGAGCCTCTTGGCGGTATGTCTGGGACGTCCTGGGCGGCACAGGGGCCTCTTGGGGGCCTCTTGAGGGCCTCTCGGGGGCCTCTTGGGGGCGTCTTGGGAGCCTCTTGGGGCCTCCAGGGGGACCTCAGAGCCCCTCCTGAGCCAGAGGTGGTCCTTCTTCCAGCGCCTCGACTGTAGCCTGGCATCCCCGATCCACTCTTGACGGCCCTCCAGCCTTGTGGATGCCATGACAATGGGCACCCTATCAATCCGGTCATAATGTTGGAACAATGTCGCTTCAAACATGTCTTTTAAATGGTTCAGACATGTTTGAACATTTTAAAAACATCTGAACATTATTTGGCAGCATGTTTCCTCTCCACTGATCGCCTAGCACAAAACTCCAGCCCCAAAGCGGGCCCCCCGAATTCGCACAAAGGGAAGAACCCGCAACACAAAAAAAATAGAGCACCAGAGATCCGTGGTTAGGGCCCTCTGGGATGACCGTGGGGGTTTCGAAGTGGACAGGGGGGTTACAAGTGGATGCCAAGGTGGGTCATATCTGGCCCAACCTGGCTTATGAGTGGGTTACCAGTGCCCTGGGCGGCTTAGGGGGGGACTTGTAACCCGCTTATGATAAGCCAGGTTGGGCCAAATATCACCCACACTGGCATCCACTCGTAACCCCCCTATCCACTTAGAAACCCCCACGGTCCTCCCAGCCGGCCCTGGGAGCCGCGGGGCCGAGCGGGAACACGCCGGGGCGCGACCGGAAGAGAGCCGGGAATGCCCGCGAACGTCGGCTGGGCCCGCGGCAGGGAACCCGAGCAGAAGGCAGAGCATCCACCCGCGTAAGAATCGCTCGACACGCGAAGCCGTTCAGCAAACGCGCTCCAAGGAAGAATCAGGCATGGGACGCACAGAGACATAACAATACATTATAAGTCCTCCCTGGAGGCGCGCGTCCGACTCGAGCACGTCGTATACCCATCTCGTAGCATATCGTTTCCCGAGCGGCTACGGCCAGAAAGGGCCCGCCACGATGCATCTGCTGCAAGAGTTCTCGGAGCACGCGTCGCCCCTGGGGGGGGGGGGCGACGCACACATATTTGGACGCCCGAAATGGGTACGGAAAGAATGGGTACAATGCCCAACAACAAATCTTGTCCCAGATCAACAGCGGCTGCTGTTGGGCAGGCGGCCTTCTGTCTCGAATGGACACAGGCCGCGGCGGCGTCGACAGCGAATCCTGTTCAAAATGAACAGGAACTGCTATTGGGCATTGTACCCATTCCTTCCGTACCCATTTCGTGCGTGCAGAACATAGTATCAGTACGTTGGGGTGCCGCCGAGCCGTTTAGTCAACGCCGATCGTCGGGTCTGGGCGGTGTTTCACTGCCTGGACTGAGGGCAGGGGGACCATGAGACGACGCAAAACGAGGACCAGTTCGGATGAGGATACATCGAGAATCTCTGAGATCTGGCGGCTCTGGAGGATGTCTCGGCCGCCGCGGCCTCCTGGGAGCGATCGAGAACGCGCTGAGAGTTTTCCAGAACGCTCTGGAATGGATTCATCCGTGTCCTACCAGTACCGCCCGAGCCCAACCTCATCGTGAACACCCCGCCACGCGACGCCGTCCAGCACGCGGGATCTGTAAGGAAGAAACCGGCCAAGGCAAGGCTGTGCCGCGAACGCCCGCGGCTGTTACGCAAGCACCTGTTATAGTTGGTCGGGGTGGCTCTTTCCTGGCGTGAGGCGAACGGGTCCTGAGGTTAGAAGACGAGAAAACGCCATAAACATAAACTTTTAGCGGTCCGCGCGGATTTCTTGGATCCGCGCCGGACCCCCCTCCCTGGAGCGCGGAGCGCGCCAGGGGCGGCGCCAGAGGCGCGCGGAACGCCAAAAGTTTATGTTTATGCTTTTTTTCCCAATCAGTGCTTGCACTGAAGGGGTCCTAGCGGATATTGAAAGATTTGGCGAAAACTTCCCGCCGATTTTGGTAGCAGGCTGCGTTCCCGGGTTCCCCAATTCCCTGTTCCCGGGTTCCCGGTTATTGGTTCCAGGCCGAGTTCGGTGGGTTCTGGGTTCCCCGGCTCCCGGGTTCCCGGTCGATCTCCGCAGCAAAAACCATCCAGAGATTGAGGTTTTTCTCGGGTCCTGGATGAAGGGGCCCCAGGACACACAAATAAATACACACAAATAACACATTCCCCATACTTTCTCATATTTTCCGGGCTTTTGTCTTCCCCCCCACACTTCCCATATTTTCCCATATTTTCTGAGGAATCGACGATTGATTGTGTCTGTGTGTTTTTTTCCCTCCTGGCTGGAACCCAGGACCTTCTCAGGGAACCAGCTCCTCATCCCGAGCCGTCTCTTGACGGCCCTGAGGCCCGTGGGCGGCCCCAAGGACCCCGACAGAGACGACAAGCCTCAGCAATTACCGCTCTCCCTGAGCACCTTCTGGCCCTTTAGATCGATGACTGTCCCCCTTGGATAGACGAACAGATTATACACCAAAGAAAAAACCCAATGGATGGTTTTTGATCAGTGAGATCGACCGGGAACCCAAGAACCCTGAACCCACCGAAATCGGCCGCGAACCAATAATCAGGAACCCAAGAACCCGGAACCGGGAACCCAGGAACCCAGCCGGCTACCAAAATCGGCGGGAAGCTTTCGCCAAATCTTTCAATATGCGCAAGGACCCCTTCAGTGCAAGCACTGATAAGGAAAAAACGGCATAAACAGAGTTCCTCTGAAGTCCGCGCAGATATTTTGGGATCGGCGCTGGACCCCCCTTCCTGGCGCGCGGAGCGCACCAGCGGCGGCGCTGGAGGCGCCAGAGGCGCCGACCTCCTGGAAATTATGCTTATGCCGTTGTTCATTCGTCGAGTCTCCATAAGCACCCGTTGGTGTGAGGGCAACTTCTGCATCCCCTTGGAGGACTGCGAGGTACGACAACTCGGAAAAATGCAGCGTCGCAATCCAAAACACCACCAGAGCCGCGGGCCCCATCGATCTGCGTCATCGTCCGAACCATGTCGATATGTGAGGATCCTGGGGCCAAAAACTGGGCAAAAACGCCCGTCGTGAAAAAGATGCCACGCCTGGGGAAACCTAACGGTACCGATGCCGCTACTCCGCGGCCCTCTCCATGGGTGCGTTCCAACCAGAACTTCGGGGCGAATCCAGCGGTGGCGACGAGGGCCTACCAGGAGGCCCGAAAAGGGGAAAAGGAAGGAAACCCAGACCCCCGACGTCATGATTCTTTCATGACGTTCACCCCCAAAGGTCTGGACCCCTTCCCCGGAATCGGCTTCTCATCCTGACTCGTTCTTGTTGACAGTCCCGAAGCCCGGTGAGGCCCCCCAGATGCCAAAATAGCGAAAAACCTCTCGTCGTGATTTTTTCCTGGCTCGAGAGGGTCTGGGAAGGCAGCGGCATGGGCACCTTAGCCTTATGTCGGGCGTGTCCCCCTGCAGGGGGATGTTCGACGAAACAAAACAAATACCCCCAAAATGCCCCAAAAAGGCAAAACAAATACTAGAAAAATAGTCGCGCCAGACTATTTTGGGACTATGTTTTGGCTATGTTGTGGGTATCTTTTATTTTTCGTGGAAAATTCCCCCTGTAGGGGGACAGGCCCGACCTAACCTTAGCCACCTCTGAACGCCGGGATCTCACTGCAGCGCGCGCGCGCGCCCGGGCCGAGGCCGCCGGGCCGCGGGCGTCGTGGGCGTCATGTTGTACTGCTCGGGGCGCAGCTGCGGCCGCCACCGCGGGGCCTGGCGGCCGTGGATTGTTTTTTTTCTTTTTTTTTTTTTTTTTTTTTTTGAGGCATCGGGCGATGGCAGGGTGGCTGACTTGTTGGGCACCACGGAGCCCACCCCTACCCCCCACGATTTCTGAGGGGGAGGGTGGCGGTTGTCAAGTCGCCACTGAGAGAGCCAAGCGAAGTGAACCCCACCCTCCCTCTCAGAAATCGTGGGGGGTAGGGGTACGGTTCGCACGTGGCCCCCCAGTTTAGTCCCAGCCATGGTCGCGTCGTAAGCAGATCAGGACGGGAGGTTTTGGGCTATTTTCGGCCGATCGGGGAGCCCTCGCCGGGCCTCGGGACCGTCAAAAAACTACTCGAGACGAAAAACCGGTCCCAACTGAAAGGGTCGGGGCTTCCGGGGACACCGTACTGAAGACATGGGGACGTCGCATGTCTGGGGTGGGACCTGGTTCAGTGATCTGTACCGGGGACGCCCCCCCGTCCCATTCCACTAGCCAGAATTGCCGTCACCCGAAAAGCACCAGCTATACGGCAGACCTGGTTTAGTAATTCCAATCCACATGTTGGGCTTCGGGGCCCGGTACCGGCTCCCCTTAACCGGGGTCCTGGCTACACCCGAGAGGAGGGGGGAGAGGGAGCTCCGAGGTCCGCAGCCGCGCGGGCGCCGCCTTGTGGCGCAGTGCCGACACCAGGCTGGCATTGCCGTCGCATGCGGCGGGGGAGGAGGAGGAGGAGGAGGAGGAGGAGGAGGAGGAGGAGGAGGAGGAGGAGGAGGAGGACGAGGAGGAGTAGGACGAGGAGGACGAGGAGGAGGATCACTGACCTTGCTTCCAGGTCTGCGAGCGGGCCGCCATTCACAGTTCACTCGGTGGAACTGGAAGGACCGAGAGACCGAGGAACTGCGAATGGGGAGCACCCTTTACTTGGGGAGCGCCCAACTCGCAGCCTGTTGTGGAGGAGGAGGAGGAGGAGGAGGAGGAGGAGGAGGAGGAGGAGGAGGAGGGGGAGGGGGAGGAGGAGGGGCGAGGAGGAGGAAGGAGACTATCGCTTTTCCTCCTTTCTTTTTCGCTGCGCTCGCTGCGGCCGGGCGAAGCTCCCCCTGCCTTGCCCAGCCCAGCCTTGGCAAATCCCGCGGGCGCCCGCTCGCGCGCGGAGCCCCCATCGGAGCCTCGGCGCGGGCACGGCTCCGCCCCACAGCACGCCCCCGGCGGGCTCGATGCCCCACGGCCGCCAGGGGGACCCTCCGCGGCGTGCCCTCCGCACCCTCCGCGCCCCCATCGGGAAAGCTTCTCGGGCCCGGCGAAAGGGGGGGATAGCAAAGGGGGGGTTTGAGAATCAGCTCAAGTACTGATTTTCCCGGCGCCTCCTGGCGCCGGAGGCGGCTATGTATCGAGGAATGGGCCCCTCGGTGGGGCCGAAACCAGCTGCATGCAGCAAATTTCGTAGCCCCCCCTTTCCCAATCCCCCCCTTTCGCCCGGCCCGAGCTTCGGGCTGCGCACGGGCAGCCCCCATGGCTGTCCAGGCTGGCCTCAACGGGCCACCAGGCCGGCCGCAGCAGGCCCCCCGAACTGCCCGGGGCGGCCGGGTGTGGAGACCGCCCCGGACTACGAAGACCCAGACATGCGACGTCCCGATTTCTTCTGTACGGCGTCCCCGAAGTCCCGACCCTTTCAGCTGGGGCCGGTTTTTCATCCTGAGTCGTTGTTTGACGCTCCCGAGACCCAGCGAGGGCCCCCCAAGGCCCAAAACTACCAAAAACTTCCCGTCCTGATTGTTGTACAACGCGATCATGTCTGGGGAAGGCCTGTGGAGGCCGTCTGGGACTGCTCGGGGGGCCAATCGAAGCCGGCCAAGATGCGGGGGGGCTGCCAGTGCGCCAAGCCCGAAGCCTTCCTGCCGCAGCTCTCCCTCCGCACGAGCAGCGAACGCATCCATACCACGCCCTCGCGGTCTGGATTCTGGAGTATGCCCAGGTGGATGCGCGGCGGCATGCATGCGCTTCACTGCACCGACCTTGCAGACGTGCTGCAGCGGATTTTCGCGTGGAGTTCTGTCAATGCACAGCCCCGAAACAGCGAATGAAAAACGACATGAATTTCGCGCGGATCTGTTGTTTTCTTCATTCCTGGCCAAAAAAATCCGCACGAACTTCACATCGAAATCCGGAACGAAACTCTCCAGGACACTCCGGGCCCACCCGATGGATCGTTTTCCGAACGAAATCCGCTCTGCGATGCTGGCGCTATGATACGCTTTGTGCGCGGACCCTTCCACGCGCAAAAGGCGCCCCGCGTCCAAGGGGTCGCAAGCCAAGGGTCTGGCCCGCGAGGGCCGGGGATGCGGATGTTTCCCGCCCTCGACCCCCGTCACCACGCCTCCTATCACTATCGTTATCGATGTGATCGTTATCGTTGTGATTGTTACATGTGTGATCGTTTTGTATCGTTATCGCTGAACTCGTTATCATCGTGATCATCATGATTGTTGTTTCCGCTTTATCGCTTCATCGTTGTGGTATTTTTGGGGGCATGGAAATTTGCACCAACATCAACACAGGGGGTCGCATCCACAAGGGGAAGATGATCCTGGATGATGGCGCTAGTAATAATATCTTGGCCACCGAAGAGGCCCAAACATAACCATCACCGAGAGAGAGGTCATCCTCATGCTGAAATAATATGCGTAGCGCGTTGGCGTAGTAGGTTTGCGTAGTGGTGTTTTGCGTAATGTGTTTGCGTTGCATTTATGCGTACGGTTTTTGCGCGGTGTTTGCGCAGGGCTGTTGCACAGGATCTTCGCGTGATGTACTTGAGCGCCAAATTTGTGCGTAGCGCTCTTCGGCGTAGAATTGTCGCGTGGCGCTTTCGTCGCGCTGCGTTTCTGAGAAGTGTTGTTGTTGTTGTTGTTGTTGTATTGCGTAGCGCTCCTGCGAAACGTTTTTTCGCTTAATGTTTCTGCGCAGCGCTTTGGTTGCGTAACGTGTTCGCTCCGTGTGTTGGTTCGTCCAATGTGTTTGGTTTGCGCCGCGATTTTGTTTTCTCGAAACGTGTTCGCGTGATGTTTTCGTCTACTACGTTGGCGTACTGCGTTCGCGTGGTTTTCGGCTTGCGTAGGGGTTCTGCATCATGTTTGTGCGTACTGTTTTGTTTTACTGTTGCCGCGTATTGTTTTTTTACGGGTACTACTCCTATTCCGACTCCTACTACTCCGACTACGACTCCTACTCCGACTCCCACTACTCCTGCTACTACTCCTACTCCGACTCCTACTACTCCTACTGCTACCTTATTGCGACTCCTTCTACTCCTACTAGTATTCCTACCCCGACTCCTACTTGACCTACTACTACTATTCCTACTACTACTACTACTACTACTACTACTACTACTACTGCTACTACTACTACTACTACTACTACTACTACGACAACTAGTACTGGTAGTACTACCGCTACTACTACTACTACTACTACTACTACTGCTGCTGCTGCTGCTGCTGCTACTACTGCTATTACTAAAACTGCTGCTAATACTACTACTACTACTACTACTACTACTACTACTACTACTACTACTACTACTACTACTACTACTACTACTACTACTACGACTACTCCTACTACTACGACTACGACGGCTACTACTACTACTACTACTACTACTACTACTACTACTACTACTACTACTATGCTACTACTTACTATACTAGGACTACTACTACTTACTACTACTACTACTACTACTACGACTACTACGAATCTACTACTACTATACTACTACTAACTACTCTACTACTACTTATACTACTACGACAACTACACCTACTTACGTACTACTACTACTACTACTACTACTACTACTACTCTAACAATACTACTACTACTATAACTACTACTACTACTTACACTACTACTACTATACTACTACTCCGACCTACGACTACACTACGACTACTACTACTACTACTTACTGCTACTACCACTACTATACTACTACTACATTACTACTACATACGTCTACTTACTAACTACTACCAACTACTACTACGACTACTAATACTACGACTACTACTACTACGACGAGGACTACGACTAGTACTACTACTGCTACTACGACTACGATGCGACTTACGGCGACTACTACTACTACTACTACTACTACTACTACTACTACTATTACTCCTACTACTACTACTACCACTACTACTACTACTACTACTACTACTCCGACTCCTACCTCGACTCCTACTACTACTACTGCTGCTACTACTACTGCTACTACTACTACTACTGCTACTACTACTACTACTACTACTACTACTACTACAACTACTACTACTACTACTACTACTACTACTGCAACGACTACTGCGACTACTACGACTACTACGGCTACTACTACTACTACTACTACTACTACGACCTACTACTATTACTACTACTACTACTACTACTACTACGACTACTACTACTGCTACTGCTTCTTCTTCTTCTTCTACTACTACTACTACTACTACTACTACTACGACTACTTCTACGACTACTTCTACGACTACTTCTTCTACTCCTACTCCAACTCCTACTATAACTCCTCCTACTACTACTCCGGCTCCGGCTCCTTCTACTCCTCCTGCTCCGACTTTTACGATTACTCAGACATCTACTTTTACTACTACTCCTCCTGCGGCGACTACTACTACTACTACTACTACTACTACTACTACTACTACTACTACGACTACTGATCCTACGAATGCTCATGGTACTCCTGCTACGGTCCGGGGGCGAATCGCCCCCTGCGAAAATAATCGAATCATCCTTGCGTGGTTGTGTGTTGTTGTTCCTTTACCCTCTTGTCCTGTTTCCCGTTTTGCTTCATGTTCGTCATTTGTTAACGTTCGCGAGCCTCGCTGGCTCTGCGAATCTCTCTGCGAACCTCGCTGACTCGGGTAGGTGACCACGTGGGGCGGGGGTGGGACTTCCGCCCCTCCCTTGCTGCTGGCGCCTGGGGGGTGGGGGAGCAAACAAATGTTGTTGTGTTGTTTGTTTGCTCCCCCGCCCCCACCCTCCTAGGCGCCAGCAGCAAAGAATTGCAATCGCAGCGCATTGCAATCGCATTGAAATACGCTGCGACCGCATTGCAGCAGCAGTGCTATAGTACTGGCTGTCGCAATAATTGTACTGTAGTAGTGTAATAGCCGCTGTGCTCTAATACTGCATCATTCGAAAACCGCCGTGGTAGTACTGCATTAACGGTGTGGCAGCACTGTGTCAGTCCTGTAGCTGAAACAGAAGTAGTAGTAGTAGTAGTAGTAGTAGTAGTAGTAGTAGTAGTAGTAGTAGTAGTAGTAGTAGTAGTAGTAGTAGTAGTAGTAGTAGTAGTACTTAGTAGTAGTAGTAGTAGTAGTAGTAGTAGTAGTAGTAGTAGTAGTAGTAGTAGTCGTAGTAGTAGTAGTAGTAGTAGTAGTAGCAGTAGTAGTAGTAGTAGTAGCTAGTAGCTAGTAGATAGTAGTCGTAGTAGTAGAAGTTAGTAGTATAGTAGTAGAAAAACACACCCAAAAAAAAAAAAAAAAAAAAAACACCCCCCCCCCCCCCCCCCCCCCCCCCCCCCCCCCCCCCCCCCCCACCCCCAAACACACACAACACACACAAAACTCGTAGTAGTAGTAGTAGTAGAAGAAGTAAAGGTAGTAGTAGTAATAGAGGTAGTAGAAGTAGTCGTAGTGGTAGCAACACCACTCCGGCCTTGCAGCAGAGGTCATACGCGAGCGTTTGCTCCAGTAGTCGCACTGTAGTAGTGTAGTAGAAGTAGTCCACGACTGTAGTGCTCGAGCAGAGTAGTACCGAGTAGTAGTAGTAGTATCCTCGAACTGTAATGTTTTAGTGGCAGTCTGCAAGAAGAGTGCTGCAGTTTTGTGGGGCTGTGCCGTCCTACTGCAATAATGGTACTGTAGAAGCAGCACCCTAATCTGTTATATGTAAGAGTCGTATTGCCTGGAGCGACTACACTACTGTAGTAGGACTATCCAAATGCCGTAGTCGATCAGCACGGCTGTAGTACTTTAATACTGAAGTGCTGTACTGGTGGCATTGAAATAGTCGTAGTCGTAGTACACTACTCGAGCAATAATACTGCCGCAGCGGTACTCTAGTACTGAACCAGTGGTACTCGGATACCGTGCTAAGCCAGTCGGGTTATTGCATTAACGAAGTGGCAGCACTGTAATAGCCCTGTAACTGTAGTCGGAGTAGTAGTACTCAGGTCTCGCAGTAAGGATCATACTCGGGTAGTTGCTTTAGTAGTCGTACTGGAGTATTGTCGTAGAAGTAGTCCCCTACTGTAGGCCCCTCGATATGTAGGGTCTCAGTGATAGTGATGTACTGAGAGCGCTGTACTACTGTGGAGCCGTGCTGTCCCATTGTAATGCTGGCACTGTAGCTGCCGTGCTCTAGTAGTGCCTTCGTCGAGCAGCACTCTACTTCTCCCTGCAGTGAGTGTGCTGCAGTACTGCCGCAGAATTATGCGAATGCTGTAGTGTATCAGCACTGCTGCAATAGTTTAATACTGTAGTGCTGTAGTGGTGGCACCGAACTAGTCCTAGCACAGTACCCTCGCAACATGAATGCAGTAGTGGTGCTCTAGTGCTGGACCAGTGGTACTCTGACACCGTGCTAAGCCAGCTGTAGACTTACAATAGTCAAGTGGCAGCGCTGCAGTAGCCCTGTAGCTGTAATGGTAGTACTCAGGTCTCGCAGTAAAGATCATACTCTAGCACCTGTTTTAATACTCGCAGTGTTGCAGTGTAGTAGTAATTCAACACTGTAGTAGTCCAGTACAGTACTAGTACCCTTCAACTGTGATGCTTTAGCGGTGGTGTTATAGGAAGAGTGTTGTACTAGTGTGGGGCAGTGCTGTATCATTGCAGTAGTGGCGCTGTAGAGGCAGTACTTGTGTACTGAATTCGTAAACAAAAAAAAAACTGCTCTACGACTGCTTGCAGTGCGTGTGCTACAATACTGTAGTATAAATACTCTAGCACTGTCGCAGTGTT